CTCAATAACTGCAGCCGTAGAACCCACTGCTAAAAGGAGAAACTAACCATGAATGAGTTTACCCAACAGCTTACAGCAAACCATCCACAAACAAGTGCCCCTTGTTCCTCCGAATAAATTCAACAACTTCACCGAGTGCTAGCACAATAGTTATTTTAGAGCTTTTTTGTGAATAAATCTTTCTCCCCCACATTTATTCATCTGTCTATACATGTGCCCCACCTATCCAGACAGATTGCAACATGCACCTGTGTCCAATGTCTATTCAGAAGATAGAGAAGGCACTTACATGTAGTAGAATGGGGGTACAGGTTGTTGTAAAAGGATAGCACTCTCTGCTTTAGCTATAGGGATGTAGATGTTTTAAATCTCATAACAAATAACTTTTTAAACTTAAAATAATTTCAATAAGAAAACACTTGAACTGGTTCACATTTACAATGAGACCTTCAATTGGTCCTTACTAAGGATTGAGCTGATTGAAGCCAATGATTTCTGTTTTCAGAATAATCCTGATTTTGATCTGATCTTAAAGCTCTCATGAGATAAGAATACATTGAAGCAATAGGACAGGGTTTGATACCATCCAGTAATAGTTTAGAATCATGACAGAACCTTCAATTGTCAGGTTTCACACATATGTACATGATAACTTTAATCAAACCATTGATGCAAGGGTGACCTTCTCAAATCTGAATAACTATTCATGTTGTTCATTTTCATAGATGATAGAATCTGGTGTGCAAATTCTATGGAAAACCTTGGAGCCTGACCACACAATATACTGGTAACCACCCTATTCAAACACAACAAATTCTGTTATCAATTCCATTGCAAACATTATTTTCCACATTAAGTTAAAAACAGTTTATTGGTTGTAAAAGAGATCTGGCTCATTCTACTTTTCATTTGACTTATTATAGATGTTATGCAAATCACATGTCTGCTTTGAGCAAACACAAATTCACACAATGTCCCCCTTTCAGAACTCTATTACATTTGTTGATTTGATAAATCTGTGTGTACTGTATGTTAACTATGTTTGTTCTGTTGTTATTTGTCTGTTTCATTTCATTTGGGAGGCTGCTTTCAAGATACAAATCATCACATCCCTGAAGAACTTTATAAACATTGTTTGCAGACATATTAATCAGACCGAGCATGATAATCAAATCATTATAATGTAAAACCTGGATGGTGGCCCTAGAAATTTAAACCCATTTACACTGGAGAAGAGCCGAACATGTAGGCCGGAGGATTATCATCACGACGGTGAAGAGTCTAAAGGATTACATGCAACTTCAAATATTGGGCACAGGTCATTTCCTTCTTCTATGATGAAGACGTATTATCTCATTAGCCGTTACAGCTCCTGAGAAATAGGATGCAACGCAACGCCAGCTTGAACTTTACAGTCAGTCATCATTAATTAAACCCCTGTGCCGTGCAGATATCTGTGTTATTCCGCTTTATAATACGCTCTTTTGCCTCACAGCACTCTCGCAAAAAATAGCCTCCATTACAGACTACATGTACATGTAAATGTGTGTATATTAAACCAATAGATAATGCGATTAAAATTGTCAACATAGGCCTACATACAGTATGTAGAGCTGATCATTTAATTTCCTTATGTATTTAATTACTTGTGTTAATTGTGTAACTGTAAAGCGCTAGACCACACAATACACATAATATAATTACATAGTTTCCTGCTATTTACATATACTGTACATGTGGATGTACTAGGAGGAGGCCCTAGGCCTGAAGATGAGTGTTTATCCATTGACATCACAATTAGACTTTGAAGGTCAAGGTGTGTCAGGATATTAAACAGGTGATGCTCTCTTCCTCTCAAACAAATCCATGCATGGACATTAATGACTGACTGCTCTCCTTCAGATTGGTCTTGAGACTTTATACAATTTTTTTATTTTTACAAAGGTTAAATCTACATACACTGTATACTGTAGGCTTAAATGCTAAGTTCAAATATAATGATAAATGTGGGCCTACATTTAAATGATTACATTTGTATTAAATACAAAGCAAGATTTCTAATGCCAAAGACAGGGAAACTACATTTAAATATACATGTAGGCCGAAACTGTTCAGCCTACAGGAGAACAAATGTCACGTTCCGCATCAAGTGAGTTTGATTCAAACATAATTTCGAGAAACTCTGTGTATTAAAGCAGTGTGAGTATATGAGATATTAAACTTACACTGTTACAGTTTTATACTCACTTTCTCACCCACACTATAAATTAACTGTACAACATTACACATGCAAGCCTAGACAAAGAGGGAGGGGTACTCAGTACTGTGTATCCATGAACATTTCCCCAAACATTACACATTCCTGCCTGCTTCCAGTTTGAAATGTTTTCTCCTGTAATATGATGCAGGAGTTATGCCCTCCCAGCTAGGCAGTGTGAGTCATTTGAATGGGGCTGTGTGGACGTGACCCATGCTTGCTAGTATAAACACAGACAGAGTTCATATTCACTCGAGCTTAACTCTCGCTCTCTCGGTACAAAAATAATGTACTGTACATTGTAAGCCTATGGTACAAGTGTAGGGGATAACTTAGGAAAGGGGCAAGATCATTTTGACTCACAAAAATGACAGGCCTACATACAACACATATTTAACTGATATGTAGAACTTGTCTACCGTACAAGTCACTGCAAATGAGAATGGCAGTCTTGGCAGATAATAAGATTAAAAAGTACTTTCAAACTATCTACTGTACATGTACATACTGTATGTCTATAAATTCTATATTTATTGTAAACATTGATTCTTGTTGTACTTCTATTGTACTTTCATGTGCTGATAGACTACGGTATGCAAAACTGCAAGTAATATTTATGAGTATCTTTTCCCCTTTAAACCGCATCTTTTTTTTCAAAAGTTGGATACTAAACCAGAGATACCTCCGAAAAAAATAAAAGGGGTAAGAAGTGTTCAAACTAAAGTATTTGTAGGTACATGTACATGTACATGTACTTGAATTTTCAAACATAATTTGACCAAGAATAAAGGATCACACAAACACACAAATATCCTTTAGCAGCACCCCCATAAAATGGACATGAAAAATGTACTAAACTGTAAAGGGAGGGCTCATAAGAGTGGGCTAGCTAGTTTTAAAATTTCTCACTCTGTTATTGATAGGAAGACATTTATAATATTTTGCACGCATTCCACACAAGTTACAAATTAAGTATCAAAAATCAAGAAAATGATTGCAATTAAGCATATTGCATGAAAAGCACATGAACTGTACATGCTGTAGTAGATTAGTTCAATTTGAAACTATGCAAGTTGTGTACAAAGTTGGGTTAGTACTGATTTGTCTGTATGCTTTATAGCAGTAAGATTATCTGAAGGTAGTAAATTAAGATATGGGCCTACAGACTTTGAACAGGGAACACAAACCAGAATCAACAATAACCAAGATGCTCACTCATTATGCAACTATGCTTTTAAAATCCTTCCTTCTCAAAGCATCTTTACTTTTTATAAACAAAGGTACAACATGTATAGTTATTGTTATTTTAATACAAGTAAATTGAAATACATGTACCCATACATGCAGCCAAAATCTATTTTTGAATTGCCATACTTTGGTCAACTACAACTGTGGTATACAATACCAGGATCTGTGGATATTGATATGAATCAGGGCATTGTTTCATGCAACAGTCACAAAAAGAGTACAAGTTCGCCCACAATCTACATACCATTCAAACATGTGTTAAAGGGATCGTTTAACAATGTTCAATCTGAGATACACGGCCCTACATGTTATCAGTGTCTGTGATATGGTGTAATATTGAAGCCCTACAAAAATTGCAATTCAAAATGATCAAGAAGTGCCTCAAAAAAGTAAAAAATCTTAGAGTGACCGGTTTTACCATACTCGTTTTTCCCAATAGACTGTAGTGTTATGAAAACCGTCAGACGAACGGTTTTCAAAATTAGTAATTCCAATCATAAATATCTTGATAATCAGACAGGCGATCGGCTTGTAAAAGTCATGGGGTTCCTGACTGACCTAAAGGTTTATAATTATCATAGCATCATGAGCTGAATCCAGAATTTTGTTTCAGAATCTGAGACAAAGTTACCGGATCCCTTTTAACCTAGAGCATGCATTCCAAAAAGATGTTGGCAAACTTGTTCTTACATACATGTATGACTATTTCGTGAAGTAAAATATTGTGGATTATTTCCAGGCCCTGTTTCTGAATAATTAATATTTAATCCACTTTGATTTTGTTTGGCCTGAAATTGCAGTATGGCAGTCTTGTTCCTTTCAAATTTAAGGCAACGGATAAACTGCATCAGTCGAGGAGTAAAACTAATGAAACTGATAAAACTGATGAAAATAAAGTCACATTTGTTCACGACATTAGAACTGAAGTGTGCACTATCTTGAAATCTAACATCTACAAATTCTAAATCTGAACTCCATTCATCAATTCCCAACAATTTCATTTACAACAATCAATAGACATCCAATCAATTTGTGTTACATGTAGTCTACTCTTATCATCATCATTTATTACGAACGTTGGGAAATTTGGCAGTTGGCGACTGTACGCAAATGTAAGCAACAGTTTTAGCGAAGATTAGGCCTAGAGTCTAGCAAACATTTGCCAATCCTTTGCCACTATTTGCCAATCCTTTGCCAATCCTTTGCCACTATTTGGGAATGTTTGGGACCTTTTAGTTTAACGAACCCTGGCAAAACCCGAAATTTGCTACATTCACAAGCATTCGCCGCTCAGTGAGATACCCCTTTACTAGGCCTGTAGGCTGTAGCTTATTAATGCTTACAGTCTTTCTTTTAGTATTACTGTTAAACTAACAATAATCTGATGATCGAGATCATGTTTGGGAAGTTTTCTTTTTTTTAATTTTTTTTTTTGGGGGGTGGTAAATTTTATTTCCATTTTGCTGAACATAACCACACCGATAGTGATACTTACGTAGATAAGACTAGAATAGTATCTGTCTTTGAGATTATGTAAGACCGACGCTTCATTGAGACAGGTCAGATCTGCCATATCTTCAACTTTTGAGAATTTGGGTGGGTTCATCTTTTGGATGTCATCTTTGTTGACTGTCCTCTTCTTGTTGGTGTCGGCCACCTCCAACACAGCACTGTCGCCACGTTCCTCCTTGATGCTCGCAGCAACAAAACCATTGACTTCATCAGGTATCCAGACGAGTTTCTTCGCTGACCAGGCTGCATTGGAGGCGGGGTCGTTGACCATGTTTTTGTCAACGACAAGGTATTTCAATTCGGCGTCCGCCATGTTGAATCACGACAAGCGGCGAAGCTGTGGAGTAAAATCCTAAGTGATAGCAGTGTACTTCCTGGAGTGCAAGACAAGTGTGCGAACTTCGCGATCGCAAAAGTTGTGAAACCACTAATCTTGATACTAAATCGATCTGCACAGAGTTCCCACTCACAGACCTTGTTTCAAAATGTGTCCTGGGAGCAAAAGACCTATTAAAATCACACCTTAACTTTCCTATTTTAGGTCCAAGTACTCCATGTGTAACTCCAAGGACTGTAGTCCGGGTCAGATCTCTCGATCAGTGCATATAATATGTAGGTACGCGCGCTATATAGACGTACGCAAAAGTATAGAGCTGATGACCTCGTCTACTGTACTAGCGCTCGATCGGCGCGACTCTCGAGCCTTGTAACTAGCCCAGTGCATGCAGTGCATGCAGTAGACAGTGAGTTAGCGGCGCACGCACATTGATCGGAAAGGTCACGTGATACAGAAAGACCGGTACAATCGAATGGGATCGCGATCGGGACACTCCCATCTTTTCCATTTGTCGTTTTCTGATTAGTGGGCCTGTCATAATATCAAGGAGATATGATCAGTTTTTCATAATCCCTACTTATTGTGGAGCAAATAAAATACGTAGGCAGGTATCCGAGCGATGTGTTTGTGGTATATTGTGTAAAAACTGTGGATTGGATTACGAACGACAGCTAATCCGGTAATGAATAACGGATCAAAATGAAGTTAACGGGAGGCAAACTTTATGGCTTCACTTTTTAAAGCCAGTGTCACAGGCAAAAATCTCCGGACGTAGATCCTTTAAACAGGGGGTAATCCCGCCCCTCCCCCCCCCCCCCCCCCCCCCCCCCCCCCCCCCCCACCACCACCACCACTAAGTGTTTAGGGTACGCGTAAGCATGCCATTTTGAAAACAATCGACGCTATATACTATGGGCAGCTAGTAGGCCTATTATTTCATACTTTAATTGTAATTTGTCCATCAGCTCGAAGGCAAGCAAAGTTAATAATGCTGAGCCGCAGAACCTAGATAGGGGCTCAGGGTCGGCGTGAGCCCCCCCCCCCCCCCACACACACACACACACACCGACACACACACGCACACACACACACACACACACTTGTATTAGAATGCCGCGAGTCATTGCAGTTTGCCCCGGGTTTACCTCAATTACTTATCAATAAAAAGTGAGTGGCAGTCTTATTTCCCAAAACAAACATTAAAACTGAAGAGTGACTTCCAGAAACTTTTTTTTTGGGGGGGGGGGTGAAAATGATACACCCTAAAATGATGACCATCACAGGTGGTGGGTCATATCATATCCCTTACCTTTTACTTTAAAATCATCCCGAAATTACAAAGAATTCATAAGATTACAAAATAAACATACGTTGAAAACTATCTCCCTTTGAAATAAAAGAATTTTAATATTGATAAATAATTGGGTGGGTGGGGGTTTTGGGTTTTGCTCTTGGGTGGGTGGGGGCATGATGTGGAAACGATGTTGTTTTTATATTTTACCAATATGTTAAGAATTTAATTTGTGATATATCATTTTTTTCTCATTTGTTTTGTATTGTAAACTGGACCCCTCGGTAGAACAGCTGTGCTGTACTGGCACAGCTGAGCAGGGCGATCCATCCAATGTTATTTTCTCATGTTATCATGTATATTGTTATTTACATGAATATGTTTTTATATTGGTCAATAAAATAAAATAAAATAAAATAAAATATCGGGCGCAAAACTAAACACCACTAACTCGTCTATAATCGAGCCTCTGGACCGAGCCTGTTCAGCCCCCCCCCCCCCACCCCCCCCCCCCCCCCCCCCCCCCATACCATATACTATATTTCGCGTTGATGGCGCCAAGCTATTTCAAAATATATTTTTGATAAAAATAAAATACTCTCGCGGTACCTCGGTTGAAAAACGCTGTAATAGATGGTCAAACATTGAGGGGCAGATTGACTAGGCAGGGAGGGCATAGACACCGGAAGTGGGAGGGGGCAGGGGGGAGTAAGGGAGTAAAGATGGTTTGTATTTTTTAACCAAAAAGAACATGCAAAATAATAAAACCTGAATTGAATCACATTTAAATTATATTTCATATAAAGAAAAGGAACGGTTAACAGGAATTAAATTTCTTAAACATTCCGCATGCCCCCTTATATTTATCAATGGAGGTTTTTGTAATATCGATACGCGCATATCGTGGAAATATTGTGAGAGGATGGGAAAGCGTGTCTGTTTTTTAAATAGGGTGAGAAGACATGAGCCCCTGAACTGGCGTACTGATGGGGGGGGGGGGGTAATTCGATAACAGTGATTTACAAATGTTGCTGAAATGACATGATTTTCCGGTATTTTTTCTCAATTTGTTTGTAAAACCATACCTTTATATGGGTATGTTGGAAATTAGACATTCCAAAATTTACAGTCGGGCGAAAAATATGCTTATTTAAAAGCCTCCATGTCAGGGCCTGCAGAACGGCGGGGCTCAGGGGCTCGACCCCCCCCCCCCACACACACACACACACACACACACACACACACACACAAACACACACACGTTTTTGAAAAAGAATGCTGAAGAGAAAAAGAAAAAAAGGGAGAGAGAAAAAAAAATGAGTGACCTGCCAATGTCACAAATGAGGTATAAAAATATGCTCATCTGACCGTAATTAATTTTTGTTTAATGTTTTAGCCCTTCATAGGCTATTTTATTGAGTCAAACAAACATTTTTTACAATTCAATGAAATTAAGTCTTTCTTTAACTCAAACAAAACAGAATACTTTCACAATTCTCTCCTTGTTGTTCATACAAACAAATGTTGAAGTGCCTGCCATTTAGTAAAAAAATATAATAGAATGGATATATCTCTCGTCTTCATAATATTGAATAATTTTCTTCTTCAAAGAAGCTTTTGAACAAATAGTTGAAGCTTAATCAAAGTCACCATGCAATATTTATTTAAAGCATCGTTTCTTTTGTCTTCAAAACCAAAAATTACATTTTCTAAATTGAACTCTATCTGTAATCGAGAACCTTCATTTATCCATTTCACCGTTTCATTCCAGATTGATTTACTGATTTCATAATTGTAAAAGAAATGTACAATATCTTCCAGCTCTTTTTTACAAAAGGAACGTTTATCGTTACTCATTATTTTCATCTTATACAGTTGCTTGTTCAAATACAGAATCCTATTTACTATCTTAAACTGAAAATATCTTAAACCAATATCTGGAGTAAAACGAAATATCATTCTATGATATTTCTGCATTCTTATACTTTCAGGGTATAATCTAAATGTCGTTCCCATTTCAGACATATTGAGACACATCAGACACAATTTGTTTTTCCAAGAAAAGTTTTGTAAATATATTGACAACCTTTTATGTCATGTACTAATATTTTGATATGTGACGGCATTAAAGGATCTACTTCTTTTTCTTTCTTTTTTTTGGTCTCGAAATTTGAAAATTTGACATTTTGCTCCGTTGGGGGGGGGGGGGGGGGTAAGGTCACCTTTTTTAGGTCAGCCATGGGAATTTTTTTTTTTTTTTAAATAAAATAAGACTGCCACTCACTTTTTATTGATAAACCCGGGGCAAACTGCCAAAAAAAAAAACCAAAGGGGGGGGGGGGGGTTGTAGGGGGGTTTATACACATAAAAATACCAAAGGGGGTGTTTAACCCACCAAACACCCCCCCCCCCCCCCCCCCCTGCGTACGCGCCTGGTGGTAACAGTAATTATTTAGCAACTGTAACTCTTCCAAGAACCGTAATGTTCCTTTTGATCCAAGAAATCATCTGGCGTTTTACTTTGTCAAAAATTCTATCATAGTTATAATTTGGTATTTTGTCAATAACAACATGAAAGTCAGCACCAAGATAACGAGAAAAAAAACAAGTACAAAATTCACTTGTCTTCCTTCTAATTCTATATCTTCATTACATTTTGAGGCCCCAATCCAAATTGCGTTTGTTATTTGGATATTGATCTTCAGCCCACTACAATTTCCAAATAGGTCCTAAATATGTAGTGCATTACAGAAACTAGCAGCTGTGCCATCAAGAAACGATATTGTGTAATCTGCATACTGAAGGATCTTAAATTCCTTTGAACCGACAGAAATTCCTTTCACAGAGTGTGAATTTCGAATTAACATCCCAAGAATTTCGGCGCACAACAAAAACAAGTATGGAGAATTTGGATCCCCTTGCCTACATCCCCTTCCTACACGAAATATCGATGTTATTTGCCCATTAACCATAACACTAGAGTATGCATCACTATGCAATATCTTTATCCACTTTATAAACGAACTACCAAACGTAAAAGAGAAAGTGTTTTATACAAAAAGTGGTGAGAAACAGTATCGAATGCTTTTTCAAAATCAATTAACAAAATCATTCCAGGAACATTTTCTTTTTCAGTATAAGCAATAATGTCATATAAAATTCTAATATTTCACCAATAAATCGTCTAGACAAAAAACCTGTTTGATTAGCATGCATAATGCGAGGTAATACCTTTTTAGTCTATTAGCAATACAGCTTGATAGTATTTTATAAACAAAATTCAACAAATAAATTGGTCTCCAATTTTTGATAAAGTGTCTCACTTTGTCACCTTTAGGAAGTAATGTTATCAAACCAATATTTTGCGAGATAGATAATTTTCCAGAAGTGTAAGCACAATTCATACTACGCATCATATAAATGCCTAATTCTTCAAAGAAAATTTTGAAAAAATTCCACAGTAAATCCATCCTGGCCAGGAGCTTTATTATTTTTCATATTCTTTAATGCATATTCAATTTCACTGTAAGAAATTTCTCCCTCTAAGGAAATACTCTCTTCTTTTGTGAGACTTTGAAAATGTTCTTCACTTATGTGAGAAAAAACATCTTCTGCATCACAATTTGGATGATATTTATACAAACGTTCATAATATAACCCAACCTCTTTTAGGATATCGTCTTGTTGTTGCAACACTGTACCATTGTCGTCAATCAATTTTACAAACGTTTTTTCCACTATCCTTTGTTTTTCTAGATTCAAAAATATTTTGATGTTTTTTCCCCATATTGCATTGTTTGAAGGCGGTAGTCTTTTGGCTGTTATGTCAAGCTTCTGGTGTCTGAATTGCTCCAATTCATCTATTAATGGTTTAATTTTTTCTAAATCTTCTCTGGTATTTGTATTATGTTCCAACAATCTTTCTAAGTTAACTATCTCAGTCTCAAGGTCCTTTTCTACACTTTTTTCCTTCTTTTTCTGTCGAATTGCATACATAATTCTAACCGCCCGCAACTCCATCAAGAAAGTGTCAAAAAGCAACTGGTCATTAATTGTAAATTTCAGATCTTCTTTA